ACTAGCTTGTAAATGTAAAGAAGAAAAGACCGAGGAGGCTGAAAGGAATGTTTATTTGGTGAAACTTATTGTACATAGGTAGATTTGGTATACCATATTTCCAAACTGCCATTTGCACATCATTTACCACATCCTTGATGAATTGGTCGAATATCGTCACATTCGATAGCTTCTTGGATTTTGCATCATATGGCAACATTCTTCCTATGGTTCTCTTCTTTGATTGCTCTTTGCAGTGTGCAAAACATATAGTTACTTTTCTGAATTCGTTTCCGATATACTACTTATATGGGATTATAAGTAGCACTTACCACACCTGGAGTTCTAGAGAGATGTCGTAACTAGTGAGGTCCATCCAGTAAGCAGTGAGGATGGAGTTCCCACCGATGACATTGGTTGGTGATTGCGCTATATATATCACGAATTGGCAGAAGTTAGAATTCAACGGCTGGCTGTTGAATTAGGTCCCAGTGGCTGAATGTTATACGAGTTTTCTTGCTTGTAAATGAAGGGTCTTGGGTGAGAATCCCTGTGGTAGGTGCGTGTTATAATTCCGTTGCCAATTTGTTATAACTGAACTGAGCTGAGTTGAATAAATCCGTTGCTATTTTGTTATGTCTGCGCCTGTTAATTACTATAACGGTAATGAACTCGACTAGTACGCTAATACGTCTATTTGTCCGTTGTGCCTTGCGATTCCCTGAGCCACGTAAATATCTAAAGGCAAAGGCTGGCTGATCTGTGACTGTAGGATATTGTATTATACTATACTATAGGGTTTAAGGAACAACACATAATATTTAAGCATTTTCTTAACCATAATAAAGTCGGCTCATACCGTGAGAATGTATTGTTCTTCTTGGTTGGAAATATCTATCCTGATTGGTCGGTGATCCGACAGAGATCAAGGTGAGACTAAAGAAGATGAATTGATCACACACACTAGATCACAATATGCGTGAGAAATGATACATTCACATAGTAGCTCCATCACATGACAAATCACACGATTTGTGAGAAAGCATAATATACAATCTTATGCTGGGTCCTATCATTGCGTTCTGACGATGAGTCCCAAACTAGGACGAAACAGTTGACTAGCCAGTACTCCCTAGGTAGTTTTCAATGGTTGTTTAACTTATATCGGTCTGTAGTCTAGCGTGAAACAAGTACAATCTCTACAAAATAATTCTTGAAAACTTATACTTTTGTTTTATTATCCGATTTGTATATAGTTGAACAGAAGAATCCATCAAAACAATTTAAACTGAGTTCATCGAATGTACACTTTACATACGCAATAGAAATGATGCAACGATAATGCCAATATATAATGCACCAAATAACAGGTATTGACTATGAGGTCAATTACATAGGCCAAACTGTAACGACAGAAGACAAGGGCCAGGAAACAGATCCTCCATTGAGAAAATCAACAGATATTTATAGATTTCTATGTACATTATTATTAGCGTTATTGTTAGCAGAGGAGCAATGTCTTCTGATTGGTTGTTTTCTTGCTCAAGGTTATTCTGTACAACTTGCGACCGTTTCTCAGTAAGTTAAGCCAAATATCTGCGAATCGTATTTGCACATGCAAAGTCTGCTGTGATTGGTTGTTGAATGAGCTCCTCAAGGTTAAGCTTTGTTGTTGTTGTTTTTTATTATAACCCTGATTCAGAAAGTAAACATTGACATAAATTGTTGTTTGAAGTTTTGGCTCGCTGACAGCTCTCACCACAAAACTAGTCGAACTGAGATATTTAGCCAGTTCTAAAATGATCGATCCCGCTAAGTTAAGTAATCTAGAAAATAGCTCGACCATCTCAATGCATTCATTCACTTACATATAATCACACAGTACGAGGAGGTAGGGTGAAAGTATAACAAAGGGTAATATAATTAGCGACACAGAGAGAAGGAAAGGGTGCTTATTCACTTAATCTTTGTTGATCAAATCTACCCTAGACACGTGCAATCCAAAATGATGCAACCTTTATGTGTGTATGCGTGCATGGGAAATTCTAGTGAGATAAATTAGGAATTAAGGATATATAAGACAAGTTATGAGGTTTAAAGTTTACGCCAATCGCCATCACGTCTCCACTTTTGAAAATGAGGCAGAAACTTCTCTTACTTCTCCTTAAACCCTCTGTGAATTCTTTTAATGACCGAAAAGAGTTTCTTTATAAATGCAATAGAAGCACATTAGATGTTGTCGTTTTTACTTCACTACAATATTGTTTCAAGTATTGATAAAGGCTCTAAGTTTTTCCGAGCCTAATTTTTAGTTTACACTGGTACTTCTGTCTACATTCCTAAGGCAATTTTACTAAACAGGCTGATTTCATCAAACACTTAGTCTTGGTTCATAAGGTGGCTATCTTATTTTTCGGGTCGAAAAGCACATATTGTTTTGAATGGAAAGCGGTCCACTCCGTTGCTAACGGAAACTGGTTTACCCCTAGATACTGTACTCTCTCCATTCCTTTATTCTTTCATTTTGCATGACTTCCCATATTCTTACAAATCTAACTTCATTAGACATGCTGAAAATGTAACCATTTCTGTCCCAGTAGTTTCTGCTTTGGATTGTTCTTATATGAACAGATTCTGATCTGAAGTTAAGAAATTTGTCTCACCTAAATGTTCTTAAACTGAATCCATCTTAGTGTAATATTGTTGATTTTAGTTTGAAATGCGGATAAGACTTACATGGACTATTTTAGTTCCATGTTTCGTGTAATATTGACGCCACTGTGATGATAAGGAGTAAATCGACTATCTCATATCTCGGGATCAGTTTCTCTTTGCATCTCTTTTTGTTCGTTTCATATCCTGCTGATTTCTAAGAAAATTTTCGTTTGTCTAATTACAAAAAGAAGCTGAAACTTTGTGGAATAACTCAACCTCACTTCTTCTCTTACAGTTTATTAATTCATGTATTCTGCCCATTCACCTTCTTTATTGTTTCCCCTTATAAATATAAATAAATATATATGAATATAAAATTTTTAGCAGACCACCATATTTAGAACGAGTTTTACGTGAAGAGAGACAGTCAGATGTCAGAAAGGAACCTATAAACCTTTTAAGTCAGTAACTGAAGTGCAAATTATTAGAAAAGATTATTATTACATGTATTATGTATGATATTATCTATTAATAGTTCATTATATTTCCGTTCAGTTTTGCAGTTTTATGATTATTTTCTTTAATTTTATGTATCTACATATTTATAAAAGGAGTTAAGCTGTTGCAATATGTATGTTAAAACGCTGAAAATTCCATTCTGTATCATTATTATTGTTGTATGGAAGAAAGCGATTATTATTATTATTCCCTTGGGTTCCGACTGGAACATAGAGCTTCAACAACACATCTCCAATTTCTTCTATTTTCTGCACTCCTCTTCAGCTGGGTTCACGATTACCCTTAACATCTCATCTCCTCCAACTTGAACTCCGCGACACATGACCTCCTCCATGTCGCCCTCACACTGACCACTCACTGGTTACTTCCCATTAGGATTCCATTCGAGAGTTGGCCTTCACTGCGCGCGCTGTCATTCGACTGCCTCTTCAATGGCGTGTACCCAATCCATCTCCATTTTCTTTTGCATATTGATAAACAATCGGCTCTTGGTTGGTTTGTTCGTCGCCAGCCAGAGTTCCTTGTCACTAATATTTTCCGGCCGAAGTGATTTATTATATTTCAATCAATCTTTCACATAATCCACGACTATGACTTTTATATTTTTCAAATGCTATCAGAATTCATTTGACTCAGCCAAATGTGTGTTTGTGTTCAAAAGAAATTCATACAGGCCGTCCATTTGCTGTGGCTGTACAAACACAGCAGATATGACTGACTGACTAACTGAGTCTTAGTGAAGAACGTTGTACAGAAGTACAACATTTTAAGACACCACACTTCAAGTAGTACATAAAGACACAAAAAAGAGATTCAAAAGAACAGTCACATAGAAAAACATGATTGTTTATTGCATGTGGAATATTGAGAAGACTGAATACTCCTCAGCCATTGAGAATGATTTTGAGTCATACCATCAGCAACAGTCTCAAACCACTGGGGTTCTTAGCAGCCTGTTATCACCACTAACCACCAAGCGATATGTACATCATCCCACCTGGCTCCAAGACTTCGTCGACTGATGTCAGATTCTAAATGCACTCAACTCTAAGTCAGTTAACATCGCTTGTCGGCAAAGGCGATGGCTTGGCATGCACAACACGTATCCTAGCCATTAAAATCCATATTGTATAGAGTTTTATAAAAACATTTAGTTTTCTCCGCTATCATTGTAACTATTATATGACAGCATTATGTCATTTTGTCATTTGATAAGGTGCTTGTTGAACCCCGTTACATAACATCGTCTTGATTATGCAATACTTTTCCACACTCCGAATAAACACAGTGTAATTTATACCAGGAAGTATCTGAGTCATAATTTATTTGTTCAAGAACTTTTTCAAACATACCCTCTTTTTTTGAAATATGATGTTGTAGAGTAGGAAAATGTTTCGACTATCTTATCTAATCTTCTGAGTCATATTCACTCATATTGATTATTGTTATTTTTTTTATTATATTGCATGACTAAACGCAAAGTCAATTAGCTCGTGAATCAAAAACTTCAAAACGAAAGAAAAGAAAGTTATATTAAATTTATTCATGCGGGAAAACTCAAAAACAGAATATAACTACTTGGCGGCTTCTTCTACTATTGACATGAAAATAACAGAGACGACTAGGACAATAAATATGTATATATATATATATGTTCCGATTTGAATATAGGGCCGCAAGCTTTTGAGGTTTCATATATTTCTAAAAGGAGATAGATTGTTGCAAAAAAACGCTCAAAATTCCCTCCTGTGTAATCAGTATTATAGTTACTTGGAATAAAGTGGTCATTATTAATTATTATTACTATTATTAACCTCCTCCCTTTATCTTCCTGTTTTGTTTATTAGGGACTGGAGAAAACTGCAATTTCTAACAATAATAATAATAGTAATAATAATGAGAACTATGATTCTACTAAAACCTCCAACGTGCCACCTCCGCATGTAAATAATGTTAATCCCATATACCTGAATAAACCACCAAGTCCACGTCTTCCAACAAACTTGTCCTCATCTCCTCATTCATTACACACACAGTCATCAACTTATTATTGGACAGGAAATCCCACTGGTCCAACATTCTCCTCTTCCACCAATCAGAATTTAAATGTCTCTCAAGGATCAGCTTATCCGCATTCAACATCATCATCAATGGCAACAACACCGACGCTGATAAATAATGGTAGCAACAATAGTGTCAATCCTACAAATTCTTCATTTGCTGCGAAACCTCCTGGATATAATTCCGTGTCATCAACACGTTTATTGACTGAGAATGGGAATAGAGGGAGTGTTTCTGTTAAAAAGCCTATCTCACAGAAACCATCAAATCATGTGTCTTTCAATCTACACAATGCACAAGGTAAGTTATCATTTATGTTTCTTATATTATTATTATTACTATTGTTATTATTATTATTTATCAATGTTTCCTTTAGTTCCTAGAGGAATATACGGCTTCAGCCACACGTCTCCATTACGTTCGGTTCTCCACCAACGTTTCCACACGTATGCCCACTTGTTTTCATCTCCTCTTCGCATCACCTCCTCCTCCATGTCACCGCATCCTCGCACGGACGACAAACTCATCCCATTCCCATTCGGGTTCCACTCGAGCGATGATCTGGGGTGTGATGTCACTCACTTGATGGTTTGTTTTCTCAGAGTATGACCACAATCCACCTCCATTTCTTCCCGCATATTTCTTGCACAATTGGTTCCTGCTGGGTTGGTTGGTTCATTCATTGCCAGAGATCCCTCCCTGTTGCTGATCTTTCCTAGCCAGCCATCTGATTTTGAGTAGTATTGAGCGAAAACAGCTGTTGATGAAGGTGTGTAGTTTGTTCGAAGTGCTCTTCGTGAAGCCGCTCCAATTCTCTGATCCGAATAGTAACTAGCACTGACTCCATATTAGAGTTGAAAATCCGGATATTATTTTCGTTTTCATGATGAGTGCTGTTGACCTCCACACAATGTTTCATATATATGAACTTAAAATTTAAGTATTGGTTTGCAAGGATTTGATTAGTTACAGGATTTCAACATGAACTGACATCAGTTAGAGGACCATTGGAAAACAGGCCAGGGAGTACTGCACAGCAGTTTCATTCTAGTTTGGGACTCTTCAGTAGTACGCACCCGCCACCAGGGCTTGAACTGATGACATTCTGGTTACAATGTGAGCTCATAGATCATTAAGTCTCTAAGAGGCGATCCAATAATCCGTGAATTACAACTTGTGCCAATTCATGATATGGCGCAACTTTCACTAGCGGATGTCATCACTGGCTAGTATTTGTTCTCACACCCGACCTGCTGTACTGCATGATGATGAAATCTTGAAACCAATCAAATCCCTGCACACCAACCACTTGAATTTCAATCTGAAGCTCACTAGTGACTAGCCCTAATCAGGTGGGTAGTTAATTAGGTTCTAGTGAGAAGTCATGACCAGTTGGGTCCAGCATTGTTATTATTATTATCAAGTCATATAAGAGCATCGCTATTCGTATGCTTATCAATAATGTGTACTCCAAATGCTCTCCACTTACTAATACTGTATTACTGTGCGTTATATGTATGAAATAAACTTGTCTCATATGATAAAGTTTCATTGCTTAACTGTTTCCATCATAATTTAATTGGTGGATGGTGGCTAGCAGTGGAATCCAGTCAGGATGCGTATTTTGTCCTATTTGGTACTGGTCATCTGCATGTACCTGCGTTCTCCAGTGAGTGATGATGTTCCTAGGCACATCCAGATGACGAGTCCTAAACAGGACTAAATGAGCATCTTGACTGGATTCCATTGCTAGTCACCATCCACCAATTATATTCTAATTACATGCCCAGACATCGTTGAAGCATCTGCACAAGAAGCCGACATGTCAACCTGAAACCGAGCACTTCGGTTCAATCAATCGACGGGAAAATCTAAAATTCAATGAAATAAGAGTGTACTTTTCATCAGATTACGTTCGACCAAAAGTTCATGGTCGTAGATAGCTGAATATGATAAATATGTACCTGCGTATATGCAGTATACAATGGTGTGTGTTTGTGGGTGAGTAAACAGTCATAAAACATTTGTTAGCCTCTCCATAAGAAGATATAGACACTCAGGAATTTACATCAGGTATGATTGATTAGTGATAGATATCCATTTTTATTTATTAATCAAGATTTGCCATGCATCACCGAACATCACACCTTCACGTCTGTTCAAACTGTTGGGATTCACCAATATATTAAGGGCATCTGCAGTCAGTCAGTCTTTCTTTATACGAACCAAAATCTTTCTGTAGAATCTTAGTCTTATCAAAGTCGATTTTGTGTCGCGTTCCTATTGAATGCAGTGCAATCGCTGATTTGTCTTCTAGCTTCTTCAAGTCTTCAGAGTTCTTTGAAACCACCTTTAGATATTGTTTATGCTCTTGCACTTTCATATTTACCTATCTGGAAGTTCCTCCTACATATACGTCGTTACAATCCCCACAGTTGATCTGGTATACGCAATTCTGCTGGTTTTCTTCTTCTATTTTATCCTTAACCTTCACCAGTGATGAGCGCAAGGTGTTAGTTGCACGAAAATACACTCTTCTGTTGTCATGACTGTTAATGATTCGCCTTATCTCATCTAATGTGTTCTTTGCGGTAAGGAATCCCCACTGTACTAACCCATTTCTTAGCAACGGGTTTCGATCCTTCCTTATCTTCACATTTTAAATATCTATTTATGAAGGATTTTGGATAATTATTTGATTCAAGAGTGGATTGAACCAATTGTAGTTCCTTGGTAATCTCTTTCTCCTCAGTAGCTAGACGTTTGTCTCTCTTAATGGGATTCTTGGCCACAGTTACCTTGGTGGTAAAGGGGTGTATCAAAAATGGGAAAACCTGAAATTCAATTAAATGTTTCCATCATACTTTATACAGACAGAATATTCCCAAATGAGAAAGAAAATTGAGTTTTAATTATCCCATTGAGATGTAGACGAAAGATCCCAGTGATATGAATTCTTATTTACAACGAATTCATCATAATAACCATAAAATAATATTTGTGAACAAATTGTCTAATAGATAAGTGTGACAAAAAACGGTGAGTGCTAGATTTCGTCTTATAACTATGAAGAAGAATGCGAATATTTCTAGTTTGATAATATATTGACACTTTTCTCATTCATTTGCATTCCAAGGGGGATACTGGGCTTTAAGCTTGAGTCGTGATGTTTCATTAGCGGTTGTGTTGTTGATCTTACGCAGTGTAGTCACTAGACTCACACTTAACCTGCTGCCTTTACTGAGATTACTGTCAGCTAAACGAAGTTTAGGAGTGTATATTTATCCGGGAATCCAGCTCAACCATTTGACTAGTTCTACTGATTGATCTTAGATGTGATTACTTGAATCACAGTCTCAATGAACAGGACAGACATGACTACAGGTTAAAGCAAATACAATAAAGGTGAATTTTCAAGAATTGGTTTATGTAGGGATAGTGTTCGACTGGTTGGTTGGGGGTGGGTGGGTTCATCATGAGCTGACATCAGTTAGAGAACCATTAGAAAACCACCTTGGTAAACTGGACAGCTGCTTCGTCCTAGTTTGGGACTCTTCGTCAGTACGTACCGCTCGCCAGGATTCAAACTGAAGACCTTCCAGTAACAAGGCAAGCTAGGTTGTAGACCATTTAGGCATTGGGATCCGATCAAATAGGCAGTCCATGAATTGCAGCTACTGCGAATTCACGATATAGCACGACGGGAACCAGCGAATGTCATTGATGGAGAGAATTTGTTCTCACACCCAACCTTCTGTACCCTATTGGTCATGACTTCCCACTAAAACCCAGGTAACTACCTACCTGAATAGAGTCATTCTGTAGTGAGTATCAGATTTATACTTAAGTGTTAGCGGAAGTTGGAATTTATACGGTGGTCAGTGGATCAGGTTCCAACGGCCAAATGGTTTACGAACTTGCCTTATAACCGGAGAATCCTTAGTTCGAACCTTAGTGAGTTTGTACTGATGAAAAGTGCTTAACTAGGATGAAACGCATGTCCAGCACTCCGTGGTTTTCACTGGTTCTCCAAACGATATCAACTCATGATGAAATCCTGTAATCACTATCTTTCTTACTGTTTTCAAGGGTGGATTTTGTGAGGATTCGATTTATTTTTCGAGTTTGATCAAGGATTGTTATCAGTTAGAGAACCATTGAAAACCAGCAACGGAGTACTAGACAGGCGTTTCGTCCTAGTTTGGGAATCATCGGCAGTACGCACCTACTCCACAGAGGGTTTGAACCCAGGACCCACCGGCTACAAGCAAGCCAGCAAGTTCGCATACCATTCAGCCACTGGGACCCGATCCAATAGCCAGACCATGAATTCTAACTTCTTCCAATTTGTGATATATTTAGCGCGACCACCAACCAATGTCATAGGTGGGAAATTCATCCTCACTTCCAACTGAATGGACGCCTCTGGTCACTCCCTGTTTTTATCAAACAAATTCATCTTGTTAGTTGTTATATTTTGACTTCTGAATTCAAATAGTTCTGGGACTTTCTTACCCCTTATATATATACATCTTAGCGAATATACAGCCTAGTTGATGGCTTCATCGAAAAGAAAACCTTTTTTCCTTGCTGCGAGCATATTTTTCTTTTTATTATGATCTAGTGAGTACATTTCGTTGTTCAAACAACAGCAAGAACAGTGTGCGTCAGTGGCACAGCGGTTAGGACTCTCGCCAACCAAGCGAATGGTCCGGGGTTCGATTCCTTGCCGACGCACACCTGATATCAATTGGTCGGCCTGCAAAATTTGGGCTACCGATATCACATACTGAAAATTCCATAATTGTACCAAAAATACTATGTGGTTTCAAGCTATAATCAATAAAAAAAACTAATATCCGTCAAACTCCCATAGGCGAATGCAGTAACATTTACTTCCGGAAGGATATTTTGAATGGATTAATATGAATATTTGAAGGCTTCTTGGAAAAAAATCTCAAAGGAAATCATATATGTATCGAAAAAATGCTGTCCATATTCGATCACTTGAACTGGAACAGAATATCTCATCATGAAATCAGCATCTTCTATAGAAACTTGATTCGATGACTGATGATGCTATGGGGTGGGGCGTGGGGAGGGACAATACTCTTTATGTTCATCAGAAAGAAAACTCCTGTTCCATAATCTACTGAGAATCTCATAGCGACCGCCTGTCATTATTGCCTATAAATATAATGACTGCAAAATGCAGCACACTGATGTCTAAATTCTTTCATTGATATAAGAATAGAATTCGGGACCTGTGTGGAAGAGTATAACTCCAATAGTATACAGTA